TGAACAAGAAACTAACAAAGCAAGTGACTCAACACATAGAAGATGTGTGATTTTTTTTCAGAAGAAAAGACGAACTTCAATAAAATTGAAATGATCAATCCCCGAGTCAGAAATGGTTTGATTATGTAGATGCAGAATATTTATTTGATTTGCATAAAGCTCGATCGCAAATGGACTATTATTTACATATGAAGACACAACAATATCTTGGAAATTTAAAGAATCACATTAGTAATCACTTCTTCAAATCATGCAAAAATAATATTGATCTATGAATTAAGTCGGGAGTGTGTTTGTTTGGAATCATGATCTATCATATTCAAAAAATATGTGATTTTCTTTTGAAAAGGATATTTCAGCCACCATATACGAAAATAATATTTAGCTCAATTGAAGGGATGATACAATCTAAGGAGATCAGACAAAGCATATTTCACCAAAAGTCTTTTCCACACATGAACTTCAACAAAATGGTGAGATTGACGTTCAAAGACCCATTCAAGTGATAATCTTGAAAACTTATTTACTAAGGATTGCTAACATCAATATTTGAGAAGTTTTGATATAAGATTGGAATGCAGTCTCCGAGATATCTAGTAAAGTTTTTATCGAGGGGAGAAAAATACGCGTTGTACTCTTTTTCTTAACCATGGTTTTATCTCAATTGGATTTTCCTGGTAAGGTTTTAATCGAGGCAACATTCAAAGCGTATTAAAAAATATGTGTACTCTTTTTCCTTCACTAGGATTTTTTCCCACATGTTTTTTTCCTAGTAAGGTTTTTACGAGGCATATAATCTATGGACATCCAAGGGGGAGTGTTATAAAATATTATAGTGTGGATATCCATTACACCAAGAAGTTACTCTCACCCATTATCTCCATTACTTTCCTCCATTATGAAGATAACCATAACCTCCATAACCTCCAAGTTTATAACCATTATTCTTGTAACCTTTCACCTTCATAACCTCCTCCATTATATTCATGTTAATGTCATGTTTATGACTAACATTTTGTATGCCTCTATGTTACACTATAAATAGAGGCATAAGGTTCATATTGTAGACACTTGAAGACTTGGAATAATAAGAAAAGCTCTCATCTTTTGTCTCCTTATTTCTATTGCTTTCATCTTCTATATTTCTTGTCTTATTTTGCTTTAGTTTTACAACAACTAGCAATTAGTGTCACATAAATGGAAATTTTATGAATGTTAATGTTAGTATTTATCTGATCTTCTAAATTCAATATTTCTTAAAGAGGCTCACTATATTTTATTCACTCTTTTGGGGAAAATCACTTTCCAAAAATCTAACATCTCTTGATTCAATTTCAGTAGTACTTCCATCTTCCTATTCTCTAATGCAAATATATCCTTTGGATTGTTCAGAGTATCTTATAAAGATACATTTCTTTCCTTTGGAATTAGTTAACCAAACTCACCAAGATGATCATATATGCAGCACAATCCCAAGATGGTAAACCATTCAAGTTTGTTATATGACCAGTTCAAAGTTCATACGTAGTGAAAGATACTGATCTATAAGGTTTTTTATTTCAATATGTAGGCTGCAGTAACTAATGCATCTCCCTAGAAAGAGATAGACAAATTTGTCTGCACGATCATGTACCTAGTCATGCTCAACAATGTTCTACTTCTTTCAGCTACACCATTTTATTGAGGTATATAAGGCGTAGTTAATTGTTTGATAATATCCATTTTCGTACATAATTGTTCAAATTATTTTGACAATATTCACGTTCTCTATCGATTTTTAAAGCCTTTATACTTATATTTAATTGATTTTCAACTTCATTCATATATTCTTTAAACCACTCAAGTGCTTCAAATTTATGAGAAAATCAATAGACATAATCAGGCACGGGCTATCCATGACCTAAAATCTAACAATTTTTTACAAAGGCAGAACATAGACGTAATCTAACATGAGCTACCCATGACCCAAAATCTAACAATTTTAGACAAAGGCTGAACATAGTGTAGTGCTCCTAGCTTTGTCCAATTATCAAACCAAATATTTAAGTTCCCGTAGAATTTCATGATCAATGCTATATTTCTAGACTCTAGCATATGTTTCCAGAGTTATGATCCTTTGCCCCCATTCAATCACATTGGGATTTTGTATTTTACAATACTTGTTCCACATCTAGTTCGCCCATGGGGACTTTTTGGTCCTAATAATCCACCAAAGCTTAGCAAATAAAGGTTTGTTCACAACAAATAAACATCTGAAACCCAATCCCCCTTCTTCTTTGGGTAACAACTTATTGGTCCAAGAAATCCAATGTTCACACGCTTCTTCCCTTTTCCTTGTTATTCCAGAAGAACCTGGAAAACAACCTGTGATTAGTACTCATATGAGGATTTTGGGGAAGTCATTGAATATAATTAGAGGGGGAGACATTTAAAGCAGATGACACGTTGGTGATTGACTCAATCAGCTAACAAGATATGTCATGTTACCAATACGATAGAAATGAAGGACCTTGAAGAATATATATATGTTCTTGACAATAAGTTATATATTATGTTCTTTGAAGTGTTGTTTATTATCACTTCTCTCAATACATTAATCATTTAATGTGCTCATATTCGGGATGTTCTTAACCTTTTTCATAAATTCTAGGTCGATGAAACATAGCCAAACTTACTAATTTTAAAATATATAGTACAAATATCAAAAGGAAACGCGTTTGAGATATAACATGCTCAAGTAACAATAGTTAACTAATTAAAAATTGATCGATGACACAAATGTAGTATTTGCTATCGCGTGTATCAAAATTTTACATTGAATTCATATTGAAATAATACAAAGAAAAATTTACTACAAAACTAATGCCTATGTTATTCGAATGAAAATCAAGAAACTAATAACTAAACTAAACAATTCAATATTATTTCATAATTTATTCTGAGGACTATTTTTCGTTGTATGGGTAATTAACCCAAGGACCTTTTCATAAGCTCAACTTGTTGGGTCGGAAAGTATAAACTAGTAATCCTCGTCATATTCATCCCTCTGCAAGTGAGAAAAATATATTGATCTTGTTCTTTTAAAAAAAATCATTACTCAAATTACACACTTAACTTATAATATATGTTACCTCCTGGCGTGTGAAAGTGAGGCCAATTTTGATGGATCCACAATTTTCATCGTCCTTATAAAGTTCATATGTTGTTGTTTCAACTTCTCCTTCGCGAAACACTTCCTCTAATGAAATTCTGTTTTGATCACGCGATATAGAAAAGAAAAAGAATAAAAGAACCATGTATTAAAGACTAGATTATTTGCAAAATAAAGTCGATGTTCATAAAAGAACAAGGAATGAGGGAGATTATTAACGTTGTTTCCCCGATGAAATCGTCATCTTGAAATGTATTTTCATCCATAATCTTGATGTGAACTTCGTCACAACCACGAGAAACAGTGAATAAGAAGGACTCATTCCACTCAGGGTCCTCTCCTTCACCTATAAAAACAAAATTTATATTATTAAAATACGAGTTTAATTAATTAATTTATATGTATCGACAATATCAACAAACTATTATATTGTTGAAAAAGTATTTGAAGTTTTTAATATTCGATACAAGAATAAGGGATTACTACTAACCTGATGCGGTACTGGATTTCTTCTCTTCAGTACGGCATGTAACGACCACATAAGGATTCATATCAGCTTTTGAAATGTAACAAAAAAGGTAAAATTAGTTAACCTATAAAAGATGAAGGATATTAATACTAACGAGCAGATTTAGAATTTAATTTTTTTTTAAATCTAAGTATTTTAATTATTTGTAGATCCAAATCGATAACACTCTGAAAGTTAGATTTACTAGAATAAAGAAAGGGAGTTAGTGAGGAAAATACTGAGCCAATTTTGGTCATCAAGGCCTCTTGCATGTCCAACATAAACTTCAAGTTGTCCGTTAGGCATCTTCTTTTATTTGTTTTCAGAGATTTCTATAAAAATCTTTTAATTGTTTTGAATTATGTGTTTTAGGCTTTCTTAATTTATAGTTTACTAGGCCAATTACAAAAACACACGTGCTCTTTGTGATCCGAGAATATTTGAAGAAGTATTAGAGTACAACCAACTGGATGGATAAAGAATGTTTCATTTTTTCCTTTTTAGTTATTTTGTGTAATACATTTCATGAATACATTCTCTCATTAGACCTAGAACCTAATATTCCCTACTAATTACTAGGAAGAAGTAGTGGTCAATGGTCATCATTCCTGATAATTCAAATTGATTTTCAATTTTATTTTTTTATTTTTTTGTATTTTTATCATGTTATTGGATTATTCAATTACAAATTAGGTCTTGGCATGTTTAGAAAAAGATACTCCTTCCATTATTCATGAAGGAGGAATCATACACTGAAGAAATTAAGTTTTCTTGGGACTCAATGGTTGAATGGATAGCCATTGATGAAATCCCACATACCTGAAATGAAGAACCCTAGCTTGAATTCCATAAAAAGAATACTTGAAGCTTGGAACCCTAGTTCTTGCTTGAGAGGAGGGAAACTTGATTTGGGGTATTAAGCATGTAAGAGGGGTTTGGGTCTATTACGAATCCCTTGATCCAACATTAAAAAAAAGAGTTCAAAACGGCATAGTATAGAAATTAAAAGAGTGGGAAAAAATCAAAATGACCCTAACTTAAAAACTGTCGGAGGTCATCTACGAACACCTTCTACGGACCATATAACAATCTACAGACTTTAAAAGTGCCCGTAAAAGACAGTGTTTTCCTGAGTTTATGTGGTCTCATTGTACGGACCAATCTACGGCTTATGAAAGCTTCCACGTCCGTAGAAGAGTCCGTGAAACCCCTAGACAAATTTCCCCGCCCTGAAATCTGCTACCAATCCCATCATAGTCATTGGTTCCTTACATGATCCATAAAAGCGTTAGTAGTCAGGAAATTTTGTAAACTTCAGTTTTTTGTATCTTCCCAAGGTCTGATAGAGGATTAGAAACTTTTGGGGTGTTACTGGACGCTAAATTAACAAATTTGTTGACAATCACTGACTCCAAATGTCACATATGTAGTCTGCATGTTTGACACAAATCTTCTCAAACTTGGTGTTTCAATTCTTTTTAACTTCAATCTTTTGGACACTAGTACTTGAAAGGATAACAACTTTAACATGTGCTTTTACATGGTTAATCATGGTTCTGATGAACCTATAGGAAATATAATGGTTATAACAAAGCTTCAATGTATGGAGTGTTATATTACTTTTCTCATGGTAACATTCGTTCTCGAGTATGGATCATTGCCTAAAATTTGACAACTCCCAAGATCTTGTAAAACTTTTGCTAAAGATCTCTTTGTAAAACAGAGATATCCCAAAATATTCACAAATCGGTAAATAACCCCAACAATAACAGTATGATCCACACATGGATGTCACAACTTATAATAATCAAAGTTAGACATAAAGATACCTCCATCTATAGGGGTCTTCATGGTTCGGTTAAAAATCATATCGAATTCAGAATTAATCATATCAATTAAATAAATCAAATTTTGTTTGGATTGAATTTAAATTTGAAAAGCTTGTATTCTTGTTTGATTTGATTTTATTAAAAAAACCAATATAAAATTGAATCAAACCGATAAATTGTATATACAATTCTTTTTTTTATATACACGTATATAATATACAAATTTTTGAATAAATAAACATAAATGTTTTGTATAGTTATTAATGAAACTTGTATTCATCTATAATATATAGACTAATATGATTTACACTTTAAGGTCAAGCAAGAAGCATCCACACGTAACGAAAATAACTTGTTTGTATACCTTATTTGTAGCTTTAACCTTGACATGGAGCTTCTTGTCATAGTTTTAACATTAAGCTCAATAACTAAAGAAATCAGAATTTTAAGTTAATTGAAATAAAGTTGTGGCATAATTAATAGAGTTGTTGCCATTTGTTAGGACATCATAGCAGGATAATTTTTTTTATGGTTTTTCTATTATAAACTATGATGGCGAAAAATTCATATTTATATATCATTTATGAAATTTACCTATATGACTCAAAAAGTCATAATTGTATATCCATTTATGAAATTTAATCTATGACTCAGAAAGTCATAATTATATTTCCATTTATGAAATTTAACATATATGACTCGAAAATTCATAATTATATTTCCATTTATGTAATTTAACCTATGATACAATTTACATAGACAATATATAAATAGCAAGCTCTCAAATCAAATATTTTGTAAAAGACAAACAAATTAAAACAAATCACAATTCTTGTCTTGTGTTCACATTTGTATTCTCTATAATTTTATCCTTAATTTTTTGCCAAATCAGATTCAATGTGTCTATCATATGTCAAGTCAACTTGTTTTCTACTATATAAATAGATCACTTGCTATGAACTTATAACATCTTTCTCTATCTCTATTCATCAATTAAAATGTGTGTAAGAATCTCTCTTATATATCTCTTTTCTCTTGGATCTATTTTGATTGTCTTATATAAATTGATTGGATAACAATAGATCAAACATATTAACACTTGTTTTTTTGTGTTCTTTTGTTTTATTGAACAAAAAATTAGTAAAGAACAATGACAGATCCAGGAGAACCAACCTCCAAAAAAAGATCAAAAGCGCAAACGCAATGCCCAAGATACTCCGTAGAACAAATTCAACAGCTTGAAGCGTAAGAACAATTTTATTACCAAAAAAAACCTTGAACCCTCGTATATGTTCAATTATTTTTCTTCTTTTTTATTTTTGTATTTTGTTTTTTAAAGATGATACGTTATTTTCCTAAGAGGTATGAGTGATAAAATCAAAATCCATTAGCTGTATAATCGTTTATTATCTCTATTTTTATTTTTATTTTGCAATAATTCAAATTTAATTCCTTTTTATTTCATGTTTGCTTTTTTTTTTTTTTTGTTTAAGACTATTGACAAATATATGTACTTTTGATTTTGCAATTCAATTTTTTTTTTTATTGAATTGCTAAAATGGTTCAAAAATAGATTTTTTTGGATGATAAGATCTACCATGTATATACATATTTTATAAACGAACTAGTTGTTCTTGATTATTCATTAATAACTTTTAACAAATTAGATGAGTTTCTTAATTTTAATGTATTTCTCATATTTTCACACACACAAATTCTCTCCTGGTGTTTGATACCTTTTTATTGGAATCAGCTAATTTAAACTCACATTAAAAAGTTTCACTTTAGGGTTCCACTAATCTAGATTCACATTAAAATATTCCACTTTAGGGCTCAACTAATCTAAATTTGTATTGAAAAGTCCCACTTTAGGACACGATAAATTCATATTCACAAACTCTCATTTTTGGAAATAAAACACTCTTGGCCAAAGCTAACGACTACAATCCCAAGTCGCGAACATCAAGCCTTTGTTTAAGGATACATGAGGACATACCACTCTTCAATGTCCTCGGTCAGCTAGTACCGCTCTAGGGACTAGCTTATCCAAATTTACATTGCAAATTATATTCCGTTTTAGGAATAAAACATTCTCTACCAAGGATGACTTTAGTTCTAATACTCAAACTACTCGAACTGATGATCCCAGTTAATGATAGAGAAATACTTACTAGTACATCATATCTGCCATAATAGATAAAAAAAAAAAATTCTTTTTATTTTTAGGTTTATTGTTTTAAAAAATTTGATCAATAATAATAGTTTTTTTTTTTGTGTGTGATTTTTTAAATGAAGATTCTTCGAGAAATGTGACCATCCAGATGAGGACCAGCGAAAACAATTGAGTAGAGAAGTAGGGCTTGACCCTAAACAAATCAAGTTTTGGTTTCAAAACAAAATGTCTCAGACAAAGGTATTTTAATTTATTAATTGGTCTTTTTACTATAAATATAATTATACTCAATTGATTGTTTATTATTATTATTATTTTTATTATTATTATTATTATTATTATTATTATTAAAAATAATAATAATAATAATAATAATGAATTAATATTTATTTTTTATTAAATTATTCAAAAATCTTGGAAAAATGACTAGTTAAAAGTAGTCTCGACTACATGGCAGGCCACTGAATCTCTTGTGTTAGTTCCCAAATTTGCTTCTCTAAATTTGGTTAAATTATTTGCACATGTGATTAAATACGATAATTTCTTTCCTATACAACTAATTCGTACTTTCACTTCCTCTCATTTTTCATATTTTTTCCCTCCGTGTACGATTAATTTTATTTTTGACAATTTTACTTTTCGATTTCAATATAATTTTTCCTAAATCAGCTATTTATTTATTTTTTCATTAAATTGATCAATAGATTTGAAAGTAAGTCCTTTGTCTCATGAATATGTGTACTTTGTTGAAACAGTTTAAGTATTTTCATTAAAATAATATTTTCATATGGCCTCCAGTTCGATTAAGTTGAACTCATTAATATCAATGACAGAATCAGGAAAAATTATTCGAAATACGTGAACTCCGTAACAAGTTTCAAAACTTAGCAAGGAATTACTAAAAGGTCAATTTTTTATTTTTTTTGTATTTCCATTAGGTTTTGAGAATTTAGTCAAAGAAAATATGGTTTTATAATTAGGAGCTAATGATTTCCCTTTTTGGATTAATGAAAAAAATCTTAGCATATTAAATGGCTGATCAAATTAGGTTTAGGCTAGTCAAAATGATTTGAACAGATAAACGAACATGTTAATAGATTGTTTGGTTTGAGCTGCACTTAAAATGGACCACAATCCAATTTCCCAACTCTAATCAAAATTACCAAACAAAATAATTTTTAATAACTTCTTTTATGAATCAATTTGAGCTACATTTTTTTCTATATCAGCTAACTTTTAAACATGCATCTTGAGTTTCGCCCAAATTGATTTTACGTGAAAATAGGCCTAATCAAATTCATCCATATTGAAGCGAGTTGGATAAATTATATTTTAATGGAATAAGTTTTTCACTCATATGAAAATTAATCCTTCAAAATGTATATTGCACACGAGGAAGAAAATGTATGTTGTTCAAAATTAGAGCGGAAATTTGAACTTTTAAGCAAAGATGGAGGGATAAAATATTTTTCACACATCTAAAATATGCATATATTAATATCACTTTAGGTCCATCAAATATAATTAAATCCTAGTTTTTATTCTTGTCATATAGAACTAAGTACATACACCTTCAATTAATTAAAATGCGCACTTTTGATATCTTTGCTTGTGAATATTGACAAATTTATCATAATTATTAATTGCTCCATCACTTAATTACCTAGTTGTTATGTTAAGCATGCATTATATTGTTACTCCATATTTGATGATGATAAGGTTTTGAAAGTCGTTCATACAACTTACATTTTCCATAAAAGGACCAGAAACATATATTTCAATAAATTGTAATAAAGTTAAATGAAGAAAGGGCACTTCATTTCGAAAAAATGAAAATGGAAAATCAATGGTTGAGAGAGCAGGTAAACCTTTTATTTTTCCTTTTTTTTTTGCGTTTTAATTTTTTTATTTTCCTTGTAAAGAAATAGTTATATATGACGAGAAATAGAGGCGGCTAGCATTTGTAATTTTCAAACAGAAATTCCATTTTGTTTATTTGTAATTTTCCATTTATTTTATTTGTATGAGTTTCTCCTAGTCTATGATTTACTTTTTGTGATCTCATCAACATTATATTCCATAATAGGGCATTGATCATTGGAAAAATAGTTAGGATGAGTTACTTGTTCTCCTCCCCTTTGTAGTTGGTTTGGACTTGTATCTGCTTCTATTTCTATTAGGCTTGATATCCCATTCTTGTTGATGACCTTTTTTTTTATATGGATCTAGCATGATTCAAATTCGAGGGACCCCATTTTTAGCAATAATAAGATTATTATAGGTATATATTCTTTAAAAAAAATGTATAGTCTGTTTCAATCTTAAGTTTAATTAATACTACCTGATTCAAAAATCTTTTTTGTTTTCTCATTAAACTTCAAATTTTATGTAAAGTTAAAATAAGTTAAATAGATTGAAACCATTAGAGTATTATTTATAGAAAATGTAATTTTTTTCATATAAAAAGAAGAAAAAAACTTTGCATCTCAAAATATTCTTTTAAAAGAATTATACTAACCACTTTGAAGGAAAATATTTTATTCATAAACTCAAAAGTTTTTCAATCTTACTACAAGTTCTCTCTATTTCTTTATATTTCTTTCTCTCTATATATATTTCTTTCTATTGAAAATAATTAGCAACATTCCTTTATATAATAATAAGAAACCAAATTAAACTAGGATTAAGAAAATTATTCCAAGATGAACTAGGACAAACAAATCCTAACTAGACATACATTAAATAAATACTAAATAACAAATTCTAAACAATTTAAGATTTCTACTCCAATTTTGAACTATTATTCCAACATTCTCCCGTAATTCAAAGTTGTATATTCTTGCATTTTTCTTCTTATTGTTGTTGTTGTTGTATTGGAGCACTTCTCTCTAATCTTCAGTTTTATTCTTGTTGTCGTTGTTGTATTGGAGAAGTTCTCTTCAATCTTCAATTATTAAAACACGTCTCTTGAACCTTCAATTATTGAAACACTTCTCTTCAATTACCATTTATTTTTTTCTTTGTTACGTTGGAATACTTTCTCTCCAACTTTCAAGTGTTAGAACATTTTTTCTCCAAACTCACATTTTTTTCTTGGTTGTGCTGGAACACTTCTCTCCAACTTCCAAGTGTTGATACACTTCACACCAACAATTATTTTTTACCTTCCTCCAACTTTTAATTAGAGAAGAACTTCTTCTCTTGTGTCATGTTTGGTTGTACCTCTTTAAACTTACAATCTTTTTGTAAGTACTTCCTCCCAGCATGCATATTTTCATGCATATATTATTAGTCTAGCCTTTGTCAACATGAACATTGGCAAGCGGACGACATTTATGAGTCATAGTCGTCCACCAATAATGGATTCTCTTCAAAAAAAAAATTATCAGGATTGTAGAAGCTCTAATACTATTTTGAAGAAAATATTTTATTCATAATGTCAAAAGTTCTTGAATCTTACTACAAGTTCTTCCTGTTTCTCTATATTTCTTTCTCTTTCTCTATATTTCTTTCTATAGAAAATAACTACTAATATTCCTATTCATAATAGTTAGAAATCAAATTAAACTAGGACTAGAAAACTTATACCCATATGAACTAGAATAAACAAATCTCAACTAGACATGAATTAAAGTACTAAACAACAAATCCTAAATAATTTAGGATTCCTTCTCCACTTTGGATTATTATTCCAACAACGTTAATTTGCATCTTAAAAAGGCTAGAAGAATTGAATTTATATATATATAAAGTACTATTATTATTAAAAAAATTATGTCCTCCAACTTATTTTTGGCTTTAAGCTACCAAAGTGCTTGAGCTTCCCTAACTCCAACACTTCATATGTATAATCCGAGAATAGACATATGAGGTGACTCAGGCTTAATCGAAGGGAAAGGTAAGGTTAGAAACTTCTGAATAGAAGGGTTCCACAGAACAAGACTCCGCAATTGACCACACAAATCGTCAGACAAACACACGATGCCCTTGCAGCTGCAAACAATTGTGAAATACCCTTGTTGGCATTTGAAAGGGATATTCAGTTCCGATGTAAAATCCAAGGAAAAAGTTTGATTCTTAGAGTCTTGAAACAACGAATAGTTCTCTTTATTGCAAGTATCGACGTAACGCCATACAAGAAGGGTGTTGGAATGTGGGGTTTGGGCGAGGTGAGCGGAGATGAAAGGAGAACTGGTGATGAGGGAAAGCCATGATTTGCAGACAACTATTAATCGAATTAAGGATTTAGCACAAAGTTTTAGTAGGATTTCTCTCAAAAGTTCGGGAGGAATGTTGGCGGAGTCAGAATTAGTCATTGAGAAATTTTCAGAGAAAGAGAGAGGGGGGGGGGGGGGGGGGAGGGGGGACAAGAAGAACCCTAGTTGTGGAAGACAATTTTGGTAAAATTTGCTTTATATTTAGGGATGACAACGGGCCGGGGCGGGACGAGGTAGGATAGGTTTATATATTTTTTAGTAAAAATCATGACAAGGTGGGGGATATATGGTGTTTTATGTGAAGTATGGGTGATGAAGCAGTACAGAGTTTTGAAATCTTGGAGTAGGTTGTATCATATAAATTTGGTTGCAGGCTAGGAGCAAGTTGTTGGATTTAGGAACAACGGTGAAGTTTTGTTTTCAACTGGGAAGAATGATCTAGTTTCTTATGACCCAAATAGTGGACGAAATACGAGTCTTGGTACTCCAAGGAAGCACTTGGTCGTTTTATGTTCAAAATTACATGGAATCAAGTTTAATTATTGTGATTCATTATCTTTATCAGCTGATTATCATATCATTACCATTTTATTGCTGCTAGTGAAATGGTAATGATATGATAATCAACTGATAAAGATAATGAATCACAACAATTAAACTTGAAATACATCAAAAGGCAACAAGAGTACAGTAACAACTAATGCAACACAACTACGCAAGTAAATGGAAAATAAAAGTTCAATATTCAGAACAATATAATTAACAAATACCATATTTGATAAAATATTTTTCACTTCCAATACCTTGAAACATCCATGAACTTTGATGAAATACCTTACCTACTGATCAGATTCTTCTTTATTGCATCGATAAATTTTGTAGTCTAGCTACTCATTAAGTCCATAAACCTCCTGTTCCTCCCAAGAACCCACCCGGAATGACATTGTTCCCTTAAAGCAAAATAAGTGATTCCATGTAATTCTGAACATAAAACGACCAAGTGTTTCCTTGAATACCAAGACTCGTATTTCGTCCACTATTTGAGTCATAAGAAACCAGATCAGTCTTCCTAGTTGAAAACAAAACTTCACCGTTGTTCCTAAATTCAACAACTTGCTCCAAGCCTGCAACCAAATTTATACGATACAACCTACTCCAAGATTTCAAAACTTCGTACTGCTTCATCACCCATACTTCACATAAAACACCATCTATCCCCCACCTATACTCGGACGAGGTAGGATAGATTTATATATTTTTTAATAAAAATCATGACAAGGCGACTCAGAAGTTTATATTCTTTTCTTCATTTACTTCTATATACATGATACAATCCAGGTCCACCTCTTGATAACCTTATTCCCCTTTATTGGTTACTCCACTTAAATCATGTATTCGTTTCTGCGTGGTGCCAATGACTTGCACCTGCCCTGGACAAGAGAGATCACCTTCATCTCATAGTAAACTAATTGAATGAAAAAAAAAATTAAATTATATACACTGACAATAAGTTATTTACTCTATCTTTTATTTTTAGGTTCTCAAAATTATGTCTATTAATAATAATTACAAATTACATATAGCAAGTAATTTGACTTAACAATTTTTATTTTTTTTGCAGACTGCAAGATTATCAAATATCATGTCAAGTTTCCGTGGAAAGTGTGTTGTGACGGATTCAAATTTGACACGACCAGCTGATGAAAGTTTATTGAGCCAAATTATACGTGGCTCTTCCATTGCATATCCTCCTCCTATAAATCAAGAAAATAATAATAATTCTACTAATAATGTTCGAGCACATTCAATAAATATTAATAATATTCCAATAATTTCCCCATCAACACAAAAAAACTATAGTTTTCATCGTGATAATGGGGAGCAATCAATTATTTCAAATGTAGTTATTCCTGCTATGAATGAAATGTGTGGACTTCTTCATTTGAATAACCCATGTTGGGTAAAATCATCAACTGATGAGAGGTGGTTTATTCATCGTGAGAATTATGACAAAACATTTTCAAACTCAAATCGACCTTATAAATCACCAACTGCTCGAATTGAATCATCAAGGGATTGTGGAGTTGTACCAATGACTGCAATTGAGTTGATCCAAATATTTCTTGATCCGGTAAGTTTCTTAAACATTTTCATATTATAATAGTTCAATTCACAAGTAATATTGTCTACTTCTGATTTAGACTTACATAACTTTAGAATGTGTTAATACAAGGATCTAAGACTTGCCTCTGTTAAGGATCTAACACACTTAGTCGTTTGGTAGAGTGTATTAGGAAATATAATGCATGTATTAGGTGTGTGTATTAGTAATACCTTGTTTGGTACACTTTTTCATGTCAAGCATTAGTTATACACGCTATTGTGTATTAAGTTGTGTATTACTAATACCAAGAAATTCTAGGTATTATTAATACATAGCATTTTAACACTTGCATTAGATTAAATAATTACAAAATTACCCTTAAAGCCTTTTCATTTTCTTTGTTGTCATAAGTTTTTATTTTTATTTTGATTTGCTTTTTAGTGTCTTTTAATTTGTTGGTGTTTTAATAGGCTTTATGGCCTCTTAAGTTTTTTGTTTTTTTAAAATAAAAATTTAATTTCAATATAATTTAATCACAAATTTTCTTATTGTGACGATAAATTTGATAAAAAAAATAATCTTTGCAAACTTTTCACAAAAATATTTTGACGCAATAGTACAACTATTTAATATTATTTTTGAAAAGAAGAAGAAGAAGAAGAGTTAATGGTGTTTTAGCAAATAATTTTTTTTTGATGTTCTAGCAAATAACTTTGTTGCAAAGGAAGTGTACAAATAAATAAAGTGTGAAGGGTATTTTTGTAAACATATATTTTTTAATAGAAATTATGCAAGATTTGTTATTTCTAATACATCAAACCAAACAATGTATAAGAAATAATGCTTGCATACATGGGCGGATGTACAGTCATTTCAGGGGGGTCATCCGACCCCCCTCGGTAAAAAAATTACACTATATATATAAGATCAATTTTTTTATGTACATGTATATATTTAAAATTGAACCCCCTGAATATATATCAAAGGAGTAGCCCAATGGTTGAGGGGGTTCAAGATTTTGCTTAAGTGAGCTTTGGGTCGCGGGATCGATTTCAGGCAACAACATCTTTTTTTGTTGTAATTTTTAGCGATTTTGCTGGCTTCAGTTTTAACTTTTGAGTGTTTTTTTTATTAAATATAGATAGACCCCGTTTTTAAAGTCATTACTAATTAAAAAATTTATATTTAAAATTTCTTTTTATTTTTTTAATCAAATTTGAGCTTGGAGCTCTTTTATTCAATAAAAAAGAAACAAAGTACACAATCACTTGGCCCAACTTTAAAATGGAAATTTAGTCCGTATATGACTATCCTCTTTCTATTTCTAACCCTATTTCCAAGCCTGCTGCTTGCTGCCGCCTGTTGTTGCTGCTGCTTGCTGCCGCCTGTTGTTGTTGCTGCTTGCTGCCTCCCTGTTGTTGTTGCTGCTTGCTGCCGCTGGTGGAGGAGTGGTGGTCCTCCGTGGATTAATTTAATTCTCTCCTTCAGGCTCCATTTGTGATGGCAACCTCTGTAAGTTTACTTTTCTGTTTTTTTTTTTCCAGAACTCTATGCTTTGATTTTGGTATTTGTTGATGTGCTATTTTATTTAGCTGATTGAACTCGGATATTCCCTTCTCTTAACATTTTTTTATTTTTCATATGAAAATTTCAATTATATTCACTGATTATGAAAGTTATAATTTTATTTGTTTGGGCTTATTTGTTGATTTTATATGTTTATTATGGACATTCAACATTTGTTTAGTGGATATTAACTTTTATTTATGAGATTCAAACTTTTGTTCATTGTCTATAATTTTGTTTTGGTCCTTATTGCATATTTAATTTTTGTAAGTTCTGACTAAATTTTGATTTTACGATTCAGTCTCAATATTCAGTGAAGAAGTATTTTACACAAGTACGGAAAGCAACTTTAGCCTCTCAAAGTCATAGTCAATCTAATAAAAAAGAAAATACTAATCATTCAGAAGTGTCATTAGATTCTTCTCAAGAATTTGATTTGAGTTCTTTAAAGTTTGATCTTGGTGAAAGAACATCAATATTGAACTATCATCCAAACCACCGTGATGTTATTAGAAGAGCATACCTTTTGAATGGTCCTTGTCAACCTCGTTTGGCGGTGCAAGAGTATCCTCAAAAGTATATTTTTGGATCAATGCGTCGTTTTAATCATGAATGGTTTGATGATATATATCACGATTGGTTAGAGTATAGTGTTAGTAAAGATGCAGTCTATTGTTTGTATTTCTATCTTTTTAAAGATCATAACACTAATCAAGGAGGAGGGGAAACGTTTTCAACTATAGGATTTAAGAGTTGGAACAAAAAGGGTGGTCTTGACAAACATATTGGTCTACCGAATAGCATACATAATCAGTCAAAAACGAAATGTCAAGATTTACTACAACAACGGCGGTCTATTCAATTTACATTTGAGAGGCAATCTAATCAACTCAAGCATGGATATTATATGCGCTTAAGTGCGTCGGTTGATGTAGTAAGACTTCTCATAAGTCGGAAATTTGCATTTCGAGGTCATGATGAATCTAAATCATCACTTAGTAGGGGTAGCTTTCTTGAAATTCTCTCATGGTATGCAAAAAAATGTGATAAAATTCGTGATTATGTTTTGAAACATGCTCCTGTAAATGATCAAATGACTTCTCCAATGATTCAAAAAGATATTGTGAGTGCATGTAAGATAGAGACCGTTAAAGCTATTCTTGAGGAATTAAATGGTGACTACTTTGCTTTACTAGTTGATGAATCCTTTGATGTGTCACACAAGGAGCAAATGGCTATCGTACTTCGTTATATTGATAGAATGGGATTTGTAATGGAGCGACTTATTGACATTGTTCATGTTGAAGATACTAGTGCTTCATCTTTAAAGGAGGCAATTTTTAATTTACTTGCTCAACATTCTTTGAGTCCATCAAGTGTGCGTGGACAATGTTACGATGGGGCAAGTAACATGCAAGGTGAGATCAATGGCCTTAAAATGTTGATTAGACGAGAAAGTAAATCGGCTCATTCAATCCATTGCTTTGCTCATCAACTTCAACTAACTCTTGTTGGGGTCTCTAAAAAGTGTGTTGAAGTGGGAAAACTTGTAGTATTGATCTCAAATATTTTTAATGTATTGGGATCTTCTTTTAAGCGTATGGATAAATTACGAGATTCTCAAAAATCAACAATTCAAGTGGCATTAGATATGGGTGAACTTACAACCGGTAGGGGCTTGAATCAACAACTTGGTCTTTCAAGAGCTTGTCATACTCGTTGGGGATCTCATTATAAATCCTTTAACAATTTTATTATTATGTTTGGCTCTATTCTTGAGGTTCTTGAATCACTTGCTCTTGATGCAAGGAGTATGGATGAAAGAGCCAAGGCAATGGGACATCTTGAAGCTTGTCAAACATTTGAGATTGCGTTTATGTTGCATTTGATGAAAGATGTCTTAGCAATCACAAATGAGCTTAATAAATGCTTACAAAAAAAAGAGCAAGATATTGCAAATGTCATGCTACTTGTTGAAGTAGCAAAGAGAAGGTTGCAGGTCTTAAGAGATGATGAATGGGATTCTCTTATTGCCAAGGTATCTACATTTTGCATCAAACATGATGTTTTGATACCTAACTTTGAGGAGCCATATGCTAGCTCTTTAAGATCACGGCGAAAACTTGCTAACTATACAATATCATTGATTGGCAACTTCAAGAACTTAATGATCGTTTTGATGAGGTGACTACCGATTTGCTCCATGGAATTGCTTGCTTGAATCCAATTAACTCATTTTCAAGTTTTGACATAAGAAAAGTAATGAGAATGGCTGAATTATATCCAGATGAATCCAATATGAGTATTCTTAAGAATGAACTTGCAAGTTACATTGTTGATGTTCGTGATGTTGATGAAAGGTTCTCCGATCTAAATGTGCTTTGTGATCTTTCCAAAAGATTAGTTCAGACAAAGAAACATTCAAATTATCCTCTTGTATTTCGCTTAGTGAAACTTGCTCTACTTTTACCAGTTGCCACTGCCTCCGTTGAAAAAGCTTTTTCGGCAATGAAGTTTATCAAGAATGACTTGCGGAGTCAAATGAGTGATGATTTTTTTAGTGGTTGTTTGGTGCCTTATTTAGAAAGAGATGTATTTGATAAGATTTCTAATGATGTTATTATTAAGACATTTCAAGATATGAAACCTCGTAGAATACAATTGTAAAAATGTATGTAGTTGTATTTTCAAATGTAAAAATATGTTTTGATAGGTTTATCTGCATGTTTGATTTCTTAACCTCCCTTCAAGGTTGTGTAGTTTTGTAATGTAATGAAGTCATTTTATGCCAAAAAGATTTTTTGTGAAGAAATAGTATTTTCGCTTTGATTTGTGTTTTTTGTTAATCTTTCTAATGTTAAATTTGTGCTTGCTCTCCATTTGCACTTTCAGGAGCCGAAGAGAATTCTAAAGGAATTGAAGAACTTGTAGCACTTTTTGAATGAGTTGTGCTACTTTATTATCATTTTATAGATATGTACTTTAAATTTGTTTCTTAAGATGAGTTGTAATTGTAAGAAATTATTTGAACTAAGGATTTTTTTTTTCAACCCGTTTGCTAATCAATCCGTTCATATATGACCCGACCCGTTTATTTATGGATAATATTAGTGTGCGTATTTTTTTTTTTTGAACCCCCTTGATAGAATTCCTGCCTCCGCCACTGCTATACCTAATGCAAGCACTACTAATGCACCTTATTTTGCATTGTTCTTATACACTCTACCAAACGACCACGATCATAGATTTCAAATTGGTTATTTTGAAGGACTTATGAATATGTTGGCTATATTTCAATGACTTTAAATTTTCGGTTACTTTTCAATTTTATTTTTAAATTTTTCTCCGTACAATATTGATTAAGATGAGTTTAAATGAAACAAACATGTACAATGAATATTTACATAGCCGACCCTAATAACATGAATTTTTTTTAGGCATAATTATTATTGTTTAAACATTAATCATATACTAAAACTGATTGATTTTGTATATGCAGATCAAATGGATGAACATGTTTCCTACTATAGTCACAGAGGCAAGGATTCTTGATTTTCTTGATTCTGGGAATATGAGGATTTCTATACAATTGGTAAATATTAATCCATATTTAATATTTTTCTTTCTTAAAAATTAAATAAATATTAAAATTGCTTCATAAAAAATGATCTAATTTTTTCTTGATTCTTAAAAGCAGATGTATGAAAAGTTGCATATTTTATCTCCTCTAGTGGAATCTAGAGATTTTTTCTTCATACGTTGTTGTAAACAACTTAATCATACAACATGGATAATGATGGATGTTTCATATGATTTATTCAAAGAGATTCAAACTTGTGCACCTTCTTATGCTTGGAAGTTTCCTTCTGGATGTCTAATTCAAGATATGGGTGATCGCAAAAGTCTAGTAAGAATCACTTCCTCTCACACTAGGTCGGTAACACTAAGATTTTGCTATGTGTGGTTTCGAGGAAGGTCCGTATCACATGGGCACACATATTTACTTTACATTTTTGCAAGAGATTGTTTCAACAATTCGAACCTAAAATATATATCACTATTCCCATGTAGTTTATTTTCCAAAGAGTATGTTACATGGGTAAAAGTTTACAAGTATGGATACCTATTTTTTAATATGGTATAAGAATAACCCTTATCTTTATTCTCGATTTAACCAATTTTGAATCCTCATGTTATATTGTTCACACTCCAAATATTCAGCTTTGGACGTGTGTCAGGGGCTGTTCAAGTGTCCCCATTATTCGTTTAGAAAGTGATAATTTTATCTCCATGTATAACCTTGGATACTCCCGCCAACAACCTGATAAGTTATATTTTGGGATTGCATTAGATTCACTAATCGTCTTTTTAACATGTTCTATCATAGTCACCAGACCTATCAATATTCTTAATTTAATGTTGAATATCAACCCATATTATGTTGTTCTTGTAAGGATCCAGAAAGTTTTTTTTTTTTTTTATAAAATTATCATTATACCCCTTTCGAAAGTTGTCCCGAGTTATTTTTATCAAGTTGTGGAGTTAGTTCTGAAATTTTATGGAAAAGTTGTGATTTATGGAAGTTTTGAGTTTTAAAAGGTTTAAAGTGGTTAAAAATGGTGTTTGGTAGCAATCTAAAATTCAAGTTTTATAATGGAATTCCATCGGTTCCATCAGCCCCAAAATGTTGATTTTTTTCTAGGAGAGTTGTCGGTTTTTTTTTTTCTTAAGAGCTCCCACTAAAAAACTTGAATTTGCAACATACGTTCTTATCGAAAATATTTCCAGTGATCAAGATAAATTTTTTTTTGCTTTTTTGATAATTTTTTCTCTTGTAGGTTGCGTGGATTGAACATGCTCAAGTAGATGAAAAAAATCAGGTTAATCATATTTTTAGAGACTTGTTGTGTGGTCATCAAACATATGGAGCTAAAAGATGGATTGTTACACTTCAAAGGATGTCTGAAAGATATAATTTTCCAATGGATGCAACATGTCCTACTAGGCATGGTCTCAAAAAAGGTTCGATTTTATTTTCCTTCTTTATATTTTCAGGTTTTAAAATTTTAATTTACCAAATAAGATAAGAATATGTCAAATATTCCATAACTTCAAGGTGACTTTGATTAAAAATTTAAATCTAGATGGGTTCAAATCCATCCCTTATCTTTGTTAACTTGAAACATGCCTTCTTTTTAAAAGCTCCTTTTCTTTAAAAGTGTGTTTGAAGTGAAAAGGTTTTTTTTTTTTTAAAGAGATGTTATTTTTTGATTGAGTGGAGAAAATGTTTTCTATCTAAAGGAGCTGAAAAATGATCACCTCTTCTGCCTTTTGGCGAAAGTCCTTTTTCTTGCCATTATCTCAATTTTTAACTCGAAACATGTCATTCTTAAAGTTTTTTTTTTTTATTTGGAATGTTCTTGGTATGATGATATTTTTTTTCAACAAATTAGTCACTTTCTAGAGAATATATTTTCCAACCAAAGAGTAGGAAAAATGATCATTTCTCTCATTTTTTGGGGACGTCATTGTCCTTCACATTTATCTCAACATTTAACATTATATCAACACTTTAACAACACTCAGAAATTACTATCATCGTTAACACTTGAAGATCTCATCAAAAAACAATTTGATTTGCTAATATTGTTGTCAAGGATCAATCTTCATTAAATTAAATACTTTTTCGAAAACTAATTACTCTCTGAAATACGAGTTCCATCACACCAAACACCTCTTATATTTTGGCAAGTCAATGTTTATTTTTCTTTTTGTTTATTTTTAATTTTTAGTGGTTAATGATATTTCAGAAGGACTGCAAAATGTGAAGCAGATATCTCAAAGGATGGTGAAGAGTTTTTGTGAAATCCTAAGCATGACAGAAAAATTAGATTTTTCAACTTCATCAGAGTTGAATAATACATATAGGGTTTCTATTAGAGAAAATGAAGAAACTACCCAATCAAAAGGCTTCATTGCCACTGCCGCTACATCCCTATGGTTTCCTCTTGCATTCAAAACTGTTTTTAATTTCCTCAAAGACGACAAGACTAGATATCAGGTATGTATCGAACTTCTTTATGACGTGGATTATTTATATATATTTTGTGTTGTTGAATCAAAATGATGGAAGTTTTGACCAAAATAAGCTATTTAAAAAACCAATTCACCAAACTAATACGCTTTTTAAATTTTTTACAAAAGTAGTATAAACGTACTTCATGGTAACGTTTTAGGTTATTTTTATTTTAAAAATTCAACGGACAAAAACTGACGAAACTGACGACGTTAAATGAATAAACGTTACTGTGAGTAACGTTTTACGTGTAAAACGTTACTCACAATAACGTTTATTGAAAATCCAATCATGTCAACCCTGCAAATGCAGAATCAAATCCTGCAAATTTAAAATGTTACTCATAGTAACGTTTTAGGTTTAAAACGTTACTCACAGTAACGTTTTAGGTGTAAGAATCCTTTGACTCCTGCAAATTTAGCTATAAACGTTACTCATAGTAACGTTTTACCTCAAAAACGTGACTGTCAGTTACGACACTCTGTTAAAGTCTTCCTTCATTTTTTAAATTGACCACATGTGATTGTAAAATAAATGTTGTTGTAAGGAATGTTTTGCATATTCCAACAATATTCAACAAAACTTTTACTTGTGTTGCCCATTGTTAAAATAATATTCACAAAACTTTATTAGGTAATAAGTCAAGTGTATCATATTATTAAGAGATTTTTTAAAATAATATTAATAAATTAGAAAAATAATTTTAAAGCTATAGTAAGAACTTAACATAATATGATAAACTTGACTTATTCTAATTTTGCAGGAGTTGAAGACCCGTGATTGGATTCTTAGTAAACGTTACTCATAGTAACGTTTTAGGTGTAAAACGTTACTGTGAGTGACGTTTTAGGTGTAAAACGTTACTCATAGTAACGTTTTAAATTTGCAGGATTTGATTCTGCATTTGCAGGGTTGACGTGATTGGATTCTCAATAAACGTTATTGGGAGTAACGTTTTACACCTAAAACGTTACTCACAGTAACGTTTATTCATTTAACGTCGTCAGTTCCGTCAGTTTTTGTCAGTTGAATTTTTAAAATAAAAATAACCTAAAACGTTACCATGAAGTACGTTTATACTACTTTTGTAAAAAATTTAAAAAGCGTATTAGTTTGGTGAATTGGTTTTTAAAATAGCTTATTTTGGTCAATGCTTCCAAAATGATGTTATAGATAACATATTAATGTCATATGATATTGATATTAGTTCCAATGAAAGTTAGATGTTATAGTGAAATATATTTGTTATACAGAGATCTGACGGTATGCATCTTTATGTTGTATATTCAATTTTAATTCAATGAACCAAACTTCCAATCAAAATATTTTTTGCATTATTAATTCATGTATCTAACCAAACATAAATGTACCCTATTAGATTAACTTTTTTCAATCCTTGTAAGGATTTTCATGTGAATTCGCAAAATTTCAATAAATATAAGAGTCGGGACTCATAATTTTAAAACTAGAATGAGTTTAGTATCTGTAGATTTCAAATCATTAAGTTTAAATCCTGAATTTGTCCGATCTACTTATATTGGGCTCCTATGTTATATTATCTGTATGTTCAGCTCTTGGCATTAATTGCGCAATCTTTTTTTTTTTTTAATTATATAGTCTTACAATATTCATCTCATGAATTATTTTTTGTCGATTCAATTATGCGTTTGTATATTGTTTCATTTTGATTTTGTTTTTATTTTTAGTGGGATGTTTTTGCCAAAGGAAATAATGTGACTGAGTTAGCTCGAGTACTAACCGGAACTTTACCCGGAAACAATATTACAATCATTCAGGTATTTGTCATATTTATAGTTTGCTATTTTCTGAATTAATAATTGCTCTTGTGTTTTCTATCTTTTAGGTTAAACATTATGATAAAATATTAGTTGAAATTTGTTGATGATCTGTTGCTAAATATGTTATAGCTAATAAGATTATTTGATAATACGTTGTTATTAGATGGGATAAACAACAATATTTGTTTTATTATTCAGGGACAGTTATCGTACTAATTCTTAATCTTTTTAGTACTTACACTAATATTTCTTAAATTGTTCTAACATATATGCAGTCTTATATGCTAAAAGAGAACAAGATGTTACTTCTTGAAGAATCAAGCATCGATGAAATGGGAGCATTTTTAATCTATGCACCCATAGATTTACCAATAGTCACTTCAATTGCCAATGGAGGTGATGCCACAAAAGTTGACATTTTTCCCTTAGGTATCATCATAAGTCTCGATGGTCGCCTTGCCTCGGAAAGGGGCAATAATGGAAGTGCAAAAGATGGTTCTATCTTGACAGTGGCTTTTCAACAATTGATTTGTACCAATAATAATTCAATCTACCAGGAACAACGTATGGAGGCAGTGACTTCAGTTCTTAACCTTTTGAGCTCTACAGTTTTACAAATCAAAGCAGCATTGGGTTGCCTTGATTAAAAAATGTGATGGTTTAGTTTCAAGTTGTTATTTTATTTTTTGGAGATTTAAACTTAGAAAAATTAATATGTTTGAAGGATGATGTATTCCCTTCCGTGTGACTTATAAAAATATTAAGATCATGAGATATGTTATTGCTATGATCTTTTTATATTGATAAACTAAATTTTAAGACTTCTAATTTGTTTGGTTATTTAATTTTTAGTCTATTTGGCCAAATTAGAAAAATCTTCTTACGTAGAAATGTGTGGTTTTGAAAATTATTATTTTTTCAAAAAGTAGCAGTTTACATTGGCCAATCGATTCAGAAAATAGTGTTTTTGGTCATTATATTTGTTCTTTGTCATATTACAATTATAAGTGGAAGTGTCATTACACATTCATTTCAAATGTGTAAAACAAAAGAAAAAGAAAATAATATTAATGAGTTATGAATTACTATAAATGTTACTATAAATGTAAGCTTTAGAAGTGTAATGACCATCTTGGTCATTTTTTTTTTTTTTGTGTGTTTTGACTATTTTGTCCCTTCATGTAGCTTCTATATAGTTGTCATGATCCTAACCAGTCGTGAGTGACACCCACTGTCACGCCCTGAGCCTACACCCTGGGTGGGCACTCGAGAACCATTGCTGGTCCCAAGCAACCCTTGGCCTGGCTTACTTACTCAGCCGAAGACTCTATGCATATTTATAATGATCAATAGCACTATACTCACTTGAATAATAAAATAACTTGGAATGCTTAAAAATTCAAACATTCAACATGGCCAAAAATGACAACTCAAGTCTTAACACATGAAATGATAATGTAAAGACAACTGAACTACTAACTATCTATGAAGCCTCTAAAACAAAGAGGGATGTCGGGACAAGACCCCCGATCATGCTAACAATGAAAAATACCGAAAGCAAAGTAAAGGAGTTCTCTGGAATGCAAAGAGGCTCACCAACAGACTCTGAACTTCTCACTGGATCAACGATGCGCTGGATGCTGATTCTAGTAATTACGTGTGTCTGCATCATAAGACGATACAGGCCAACTGGCATCAGTACATTGAATGTACGAGTATGCGAGTTGGAATGCTAAACACAACATAAGCTTGAAAGTAATCTGAAGAACTTACCTGGCTCAACTCAACTCAACATAACTGAACCCATTTCAATATAAAGCAGTTTAAAACAAGTGCAATATAAAAAAAAGCTGTTAAAAACATGATGTCAACTCTGTGTGTATGCAACGATACACTATAACTCTGAAAATGTATGTAAAAATACAATAAACCGTGTATATAAGAATACAATTACTTCTGTGGGAGTTTCTCTAACCGACAACCATCACGTAAAAGCTATTGTGATGATAAAGCGTTTTGCCTCCCGCTGCCAGGGCCATCCTATACCTTGCCGAGGGTATAGAACCTGAACTACTAAGTGGATCCACTAGTCTATGCTAAAAAGCACAAAATAAATCATCTAAAAAGTATGACCCTTTTCTACCCATGGTGGCTACATGGTTTATGGGGTCTGTGAGTTGTTTGAACTCTCCTCCTTATCGGTGCTCAATACTACTCCCAAAAGTATAATATTAGCTCTTATGTTTAAAAACATACTTCTTTATGTGATTTGAGATTAGTGCTCAAAAACATAGCTCAAAGGCTATCTTGGAAATCAAAGTTTCCTCTCTTGCTTCATTTAGAAAGCGATTACTCTTTTCTGAAAACTAGCCCGAAGGCTCTTTGGAAATCGAAGTTTCCTTTCTTGTTTAAATTTGAAAATATTTTAAACCCTTTGGGAATACATAGTCCCCATATACTTTTGAAGAAATTAACTTCAAATTTTACTCTTAAATCATTACTCAACTTGAACTTTAAGTCTTAAAACAAAGTTAATACATTTGGAAAAGACTTTTGGAAAACTATAAGAACTTCTCTTGACTTGACTCTTAGTTCTCTTGATCTTAACTTTCCTTGAATTGGATTATTGATTCAAGGTTCATGATCTCATGTTTATGGATGATTTCATGATGTTTAGATGTACCTTAGAGTGTTGGAATAAACTAGAAAACATAGGTACACCGCTAAGGAACAAGTACTAAAAGGTGGGGAACGAATGGGGAGAAATGACGTCCCTGGCGCTCTGAGAGGCGCGGGGCACTAGCCCTCAAAGTTCAGAGAACATGTTGGGGCATGCTGGCTGGCGCGTCGCCCCAAGGGGTAAACTTCAGAGACCCTTTTGGGGTGCGCTGGCTGGCACGACGCCCCACCCTTATCCCCAAGTGTTTGACGACTTTTCTTGCTCGTTTTTCTTCTCTAAACCCCCTAAACTTCAATGGTTCTTTCCCCAAACACTTAGAATCATTTATTACCTCAATATATGCTAGATTCAAACCTAAATTACACCCGGAAACATGAATCAAAGCGCAAGAAACTTCAACAACACAACCCACAAGAATTCAAATGAATTTCACCAAGAACTCAAAGGATTTGCTTTCAAATCAAATATATTTCACTGAATTTAATCATGATTGGCGCGTGGGTGAACTAACCCAATGCTATGTGATGCCACATACCTTGTAGGGATCACCCCCGATGAAATCCACAAGCTAAACTTGACGATCTTGCCAAATCTTGCTTCTTCTTCTCCTTTTTCCAAGCCCTAGCGTGAAATTCACTTTTTCTAAACTGACTAAAATCTGAATTTACCCCAGTTAAACTCCTAAAAACGAATTAATTAAGTTGGGTAAGGAAAAGACCAAACTACCCTTCCAAAATCCGGATTGGACTTTCCTTATTCGAACAACCCAACTTCCAAAGGGCATAACTCACTCATAAGAACTCAGAATCACACAAACTTTGTGGTGTTGGAAAGATCGTTCCAAGAGATTTCCTACCATATCTTGGAGTACACCTAAATCATCCTGAGCTAGAAGTTATGGCTGTTTGTAGTTGACCAAAAACTCACTTTTTCCTAACTTGACAAAATTTCCAGATTTTCATTCTTTCCAAAAATGACCATTTCAAATTCTTAGCTTCTTCCTAGTTATTTCAAATTGCGAGATGTTACAATATCTCCCCCTTGGGAACATTCATCCTCGAATGAGATTACTCTTACTAGGGTAAGGGTGTAACATGCAACATTCAGTTCAAGCACCCATAAGCAAATGCAAAACAACGTGTCAACTTATAAATAAATACTAAGAAAGGATTAGTACCTTGATTTGGAACTTCTCCGGATTCGAAGAGATGTGGATATCTCTTCTTCATATCCTCCTCAGCTTCCCAAGTAGCTTCCTCAATAAATTAGTTCCTCCTAAGGACTTTGACTTATGCTACTTCCTTAGTCCTCAACTTGCTAACTTGGCGATCTAAAATCTGAACAAGAATATCCTCATAAGATAAGCTATCTTTGATCCCAATATCTTCAGTTGGTATGATCAATGAAGGATCGCCCATGCACTTCTTCAACATGGAGACGTGAAATACCAGATGAACCGCTGCTAACTCTTGTGGTAGCACCAACTCATAAGCTAATTTGCCAATCCTCTTGGCTATTCAATAAGGTCTAATATACCGGGGACTAAGCTTCCACTTCTTACCAAATCTCATAACGCCCTTCATGGGTGAAACTTTTAAATACACCCAATCATCAACTTCAAACTCTAACTCTCTTCTCCTAACATCAGTGTAGGATTTCTGACGACTCTGTGCCTTTTTCAACCTCTCTTAGATCACTTTCATCTTATCCATCGCTTGATGCACTAAATCTGGTCCTATCAACCCAGTTTCACCAACTTCAAATCATCCAATAGGAGATCTGTATCTTCTTCCATAAAGAGCTTCATAAGGAGCCATTTAGATGCTAGAGTGGTACTATTATTGTAAGCGAACTCAATGAGAGGTAGGTGATCATCCCAATTACCTTTAAAATCGATCACGCACGCCCTCAACATATCCTCTAAGGTCTGAATAGTGCGCTCTGCTTGCCCATCAGTCTGAGGATGAAAAGTAGTACTCAAGTTAACCTTTGAACCCAAGTCTTTCTGGAATGACTTCCAAAACTGTGCAGTAAATTGTGCTCCTCTGTCTGATATAATTGAAACAGGGACTCCATGAAGTCTTACCACCTCCTGAATATATAACCTGACATAATCCTCCGCTGAATGGGTGGTCTTTACCGGCAAAAAGTGGGCTGATTTTGTCATTCTGTCGACAATCACCCAAATAGAATCATGCTGCCTACGAGACTTTGGTAAACCTGTGATGTAGTCAATATTAATCATCTCCCACTTTCATTCCAGAAGTTCTATATTCTGAGCCAAACCACTGGGCCTTTGGTGCTCTACTTTAACTTGTTGGCAATTTGGACACTTAGCAACAAATTTTGCAATGCCCTTCTTCATACTATTCCACCAATACACCTCTCTCAAGTCACAATACATCTTTGTGGAACTCGAATGAATGGAATATCTGGAGCTATGAGCTTCCTCCATGATCCTCTCTTAGAGTCCATCCACTATTGATACACACAATCTACCTTGATATCTCAATACACCATATCCCCCTTCTTCAAAAGCTAATACTTTTTGCTTAGTAACATTTTCCTTCAATTTAAGCAAAATTGGGTCTTTGCTTCTCTTTTACTTCTGACACTAATGATGATTCAACCCCATTCATCATCACTACTCCTCCTTCTGTGGAATCCATTAGTCGGACTCCTAAGCATGCAAACGTATGCACATCTTTCGCTAACTCTCTCTTTTCCTCCTCAACATGGGCAGTACTACCCATATACAACCTGCTTAAAGCATCATCAACAACATTAGCCTTACCTGGGTGGTAAAGAATACTCATGTCATAACCCTTGAGTAATTCTAGCCACCTCCTTTGTCTGAGATTAAGCTCTTTCTGAGTGAACACATATTGAAGATTCTTGTGATCAGTGAATACATCAACATGAACACCATACAAATAATGATGTCATATCTTCAAAGCAAATACTACA